AAGAAAACCACCAACCACAGAGAGCACCAAGGATCCCACAGGACTCTTCCTCCTCCTCCTCCCTGCAAACCCCATTCTCTTCTAGCACTGATGATGTTACCTAGTTGGTTCATGAAACGTCTGCAAGGAAACCACCAACCTCAGAGAGCGCCCAGGACCCAGGACATTTCAATCCTGTGTTGTATTGGCACACCTGTACTTGTAAACTCTCCATTTGGGGATACCCCTTACAGAATGTGTTCCTACACTACCATGTACACTAAGCCATCATAGCTTTAACCATAGTTTGTTAGCTGTCCCACCATTGGCAGTGTCTGTATAGGGTGCTAAGTCCTGATCAGGGGCTCAATTTCCTGCCCTTCCCTCTTCCAGGTTAAGCCAAACGCACGTCAACCCTATGAAGGGGACCTATGGAGGGCAGGGGGGAGGGGCTTGCCATCCAAGCCCCAGCAGTGCTAAAACACCATTCTAACAAACGAATTCTAAAGCAGTTTCAAAAAATACAAGGCCGGACAAGCACAAGGCATGGAATTTATTATTATTATTATTATTATTTTTAATTGATTGCAATGCGAACAGGCATAAGTATTTTTTTTTCCTTTTTTTGTTGTTTTTGTTTTAGTTCCATAAAATCAGATCGAAACTATACATAAAGGTGCATGCTTGTAGAACAGTGTGGATATTTTGCAAACATGAGCAGGAATCAGTCCATGAGAGAGGTGCTGAGCACGTTATACAAATGGAGATTTCGCAGCATCCAGAGCTCGGGCAGTCGAGGGAGAAAAAAAGGGGGGGCCGGCCGCTTGAAGCATTGTGATGATCGAACACAGCTCCTTCCTTCCTTCCCTCCTTCACAAGAAAGGGTTTCCTGGTGGTGCAGGGCTGGGGGGTGGGCTGGGATGCTTTTCCCCCCCAGAGGCTATGAAGTCATACAGGGTCTCCTGCTGGAGCAGGGGGTTGGACTAGAGGACCTCCAAGGTCCCTTCCAACTCTCTTCTTCTGTTATCAATTGCTCTGCCCACCTGCGTTTTGGAAATGCAACCGGGATTTGATCATCATCACCAATAAAGTGAAGGCACATCGGGGAGACAAGGTAAAAGAGGACAGGAGAGAGAGAGAGGGATATGAATTTGCCGGGAAAACACTTCAGCACGGCCTGTGTTATAAAGTTGCCGTTTCCAGCCCAAACCGAGGTCTTCCTTCAGCCCTCAACCCCCTTAACCTGTTGAAACTAGCAAGGCAGAATCCAGTTTGCCCAGTCCACCCAGCTGTTTTTGCATTGGATCAACCTGGATTAGGCTGCTCGTTTCTCTTCCGTCCGGGCACCATCCGCGCAAACTTGAGAATCCTGCCCTCGTGTCGGAACTGACTCACGGTTTTGCTCCATGGAGGCAGACACAGCCCTCCACAGTGCCAAAACGAAGCAAGGTTGTTCACGACACCAATGGGTCTTGAACACGCTGGAATAGGAAGGTGGGGAAAGAGGAGAGAGAGGAAAACCTCTGCTGTGAAAGGATTCTTCGCTTTTGTCGTGGTGGTGGTGGCAGCACACAAGGAGGAGAAGAAGAAAAAACCAGAGCCGCACGAGGAAAATGAAAAGACTGTAAACATCATTTGGTTCCTTAAGTTTCAGCCAGGAGGAAAAGGACGCGACAGGCAGAACGGAGGAGGTCCCTCGGAGCGTTTTTCCAACTTTTTTGATCATCTTTTTTTTTTTCAGGAGCGTTGGAGGAACAAAGATTTGTACAACGGACTAAGCAGAGTCCAGCCAGAGCCATGGATCAAATCAGGGCTTTTTTTTTTTTGTCATAGAACGCACCGGAATGGAGTTCCGGCACTTTTTTTCAACGGATTTGTGCATGGTAACATTAATAGTATTAACTTACCTTGAACAAAATCCTAGTCTTTTAGATACACTAAAAATTGAAGGGTTTTTTCAACTACAAAGGTAAACCTTGTAGGGTAGGCAAGGCGGGTTGCATGACCTGTGTGAGTTCCGGCACCTTTTGTTTTGTTTGTTTTTACATAAAAAGCACTGGATAAAATATATACGTAGATGATACAGCAAAACTGAGGCCAGCTCAGTTTCCTGTTAGCAGCAAAGAGTGGCCGGTAGCCCAGCCACTTTTTCAGGACAATTCGCCACGGCCAGCTCGTCACGGGAGAAGATGCTGCAGGACAATTCAACGCTGCATCAATTAATCATTTCATTCAGTTACTTTTATTATCGGTGACCATGTTTTCGTCAAAGCTATTGTAACTCTGGTTGTTTCTGGATTGACTTTATTATTATTGGCCACGGTTCCATCGAAATTAATTTAACTTTGTATATTTGCTGAGCTGTCCTGGGAGAGGTCCCACAAAAAGCCTGAGGTCTTTTTGCTGTGATTCTAGAAAATTTAGTTGGTGAGTTGGCCATAGCGATGAAAAAACATTTCATTGGGGGGGTTTTGTGGTTTTTTAAAGATCTAACTGCAAAACTAAAACTAAATGCAACGGTGGTCTAACTTGGATCAGGACCACCAATAGATTTATTTATTTATTTATTTATTTTATTGAACTTATATGCCGCCCTTCTCCCAACAGGACTCAGGGCGGCTTACAGCATATTAAAACGATACAAACACTATCCCCAATAAAAACCAATTAAAAACAAATATTTACCGCTGTGTTACCATTAAAATTCTAATTAAAATTGTCCCTATTTAAAATTCTCCCTATCCCTAGATGGGATAGGAGAAGCTATTTCCCTCCCCACTCCCCTTGGACAACTTCGATATATACGAGAAGGGGGGAAAATAGAACTAGGAGAACAAGAGTTGCAGCTAGAATGGACCCATTTTTTTAGCCACTCTAGCCTTCCAACTGTTTGGTTGGAAGGCTAGGAGGGATCCATAACTTCAGAGGACTTTTTCTATCCAGGTCCAAATGATTCAGGGAACCAGGTTTAAAATCAGTGAACTGTGACTGACCTTGGTTAGAGCATAGCTTGACATTTCAGGCCTGGCAAGTTGTCGGCTTAGTGAGTTGTGCAAATGCTAAATTCCTTGGTGGACTGGCTGATCCTCATTGATGGTGTTAGCAATGCTCTTTTCTTCTAGCGCGCGTCCCTCATTTTATTTCTGCTCATTTTTATTTATTTATTTTTCAACCACAGAACAGACTGATAATCCATAGAGGAATACAAGTAAGGTAAACATACATACAGGAACAGCTTTATGTAAACTCACAATTAACCGGCTTGCGCTCCAGACATCCAGTGATGTGGCTGCTTTAAAAGGCAGCCTCTATGCAGTTGAGTGTCTATCTGGGGAAACGCTGACACGCTAACACAGTGCAAGACAAGATCTGATCCTATCACAGTGTGGTGGTTTGATTTTTTTCTCTTCTTTTTCAGTTTCTTTTTCTTTTTAATATATATTTTGAAGGCAACAAGCTATATTTCTTCTTTGATCACAAAGGCATGGTACAATCAAGAGATAGGAAGTCATGAATGAGGACCGAACTAGAATGGTAATGTACTAGGGATTAAAATGTCTTCTTAAAATGTAGATGACAGCGCACAGAAATAAAAAATAGGTCTTAAGTTCACAGAGGCAAAAGTGGCCAGGTCATTTTCCAAACAAACCACGGTCTCAGAATGGAGCGTCATCTATCAGGATGTGCAAATTTAAGAATGGCTGACTAGGATGTGTTTAAACCTCACATCCAAGGTGGCCAGTTAATTTCCCAACCCAACTACTACAAGTTCAATATCAGTTCAAATACTGGATTACTCCAAGTATTAGCTTGTCCTCCGTCTCCAACATCCACCCCATTTAGTAGTTTCTCCCCAATGAGAGTTAAAGTTGCTGTAAACTGCTATGGAAAAATAACGCACCAAAAAAGTGATGGGTTTTGCCATGAGCCCTTTCGCATATCCTAACCCTCCCCCCTCCCCATCTCTACCACCTCCCTGAATGCAAACTGCCAAATATGCACAACTTGTTTTGGATATTTGACTGGGCTCAAATCCGAAAGTTAGAGGGAGGGGGAGGTGAAATAGGGGAGGGAACCAACCCCAACGATGACAGCATCCTCAATTATATTCCCCGTTTCCAAACTCGATTCCAACCATGGTTTAACTAATTTCCCTGGAACTGATTAATCCAGCCATCGATTTAGGGGTCATTTGGCAAAGAGGCTGAAAAGGACCCTCTCCACACACACAACACACACACACACACTTTGAAGCTTTTTGCAAGGATTGTGGGAGCCTCTCTGGCTTGTATCTATGGTTCCACAGAGTTGGTCTTTGGGCAGCGTCCTTGTTCTCTCTGCTTCTCAGCATGAAGGCAAAACAATTTCAGAGTTATTGGGAGGATTTGCTGTCCATTCATCATCTCGTTAAATCCCAAGAAGGCAGAGCTGGGGTACCATTGCTTCTCGGTCAAATCCTGTTCGGCTCGGTGGCCACTGGGTTTTGTAAACTTGCGAGGGATGGGAGAGAAGGAGGAGAGCCCTATAGAACACAGCTACATTAAGACAGTCCGAAGGGATCACGGCATGCTGAGAGGGGGGAGTGGGTGGCTGCCTTCACAGGGGAGAGGACCACTGTGTGAAACAGCAGCCGGAGAGGCTGCGCACGAGCAGAGATACAGAAAAAGCAGGCGTCGGCCCTCTCCCTTTCTCCCCCACCTCCCCACCCCGTTTGCAAAAGACAACAGGACAAAAAAGAAAAAGAAAGTGAGCCAAGATTTTTGAAGCAAATCATGCTGAGTAGACGGGCAGAGATTTGGGCAGAGCCCCAACTTTCTGCATCCGGGCACGCCGCCGCCGCCACCAGCCGGAGAAAAGCCTGGCCCTCCAACCCCGAAGCCCCAAACTTGCAGAGGATGGATTGCTGAAGGAGGGGGGATTTTATGCAGCCCTGGGAAACGGCCTTGTCCGCAGCAAGAGGGAAGATGAAAGAGTGTGGCTGTGCTTTTTTTTTTTTTTGGCGGAAAAAAGCCACGGCAAGGTTGTTAACAGCCATCGCGCTTCAGCAGGGGAGCTCCAGAGAGGAGGGCACAGGGCGAGAAAAGAAAACGACCACAGGATGGGAAGGGGTTGGGGATGGGGTGGAGGAGAAAGAGAAACAACTCCATGGTCCATTCCTTTATCACCCATCAGTGCATCGGTAGCAACGCTTCCTTCAGGACACAATAACCGGACGAGACACAGAAGAGCAAAGGTCGTGGACGGTCAAATCCCTGGAGAAATGGAATGGATGCCAAGCGGTCAGTTACAGGGTCTAGCCCCCCTCAGCCTGGAACCGTGCAGCAGGAGCTGCTGTGACCGGCCTGGCCTGGCATCCCACCTCGGGCCCCACTGTCCATATTAGGAACAAAACACCCTGCAAGAAAGCTGGCGGTTAGGACTGGCATAAGACTTCCTCTTAGCATCGGCTGGTCTCCAAAGGCTGAGTGGGGGACAGGCTTCTTTAACACTTGGAAATCCCAGAGCTGTAAGATAGATAGAGGAGACCCCCCCTCCCAACCCCCCCCCCAGAGAAGGCACAATAGGATCCTTCCTTTTTACCTTCCACTTCAGTGAGGGGCTATCGTAAGTCTACGTTTACTGCTCACAGCTTACTCTTTGCATCGAAAGCTTGTAACGCCGGGCTGCTTCTTAATCTCGCATTTTGACAAGCTGCCTATAAAGAGGATCTGGATCCGGCCAGATTTGTTGGTTGGTTTGTTTATCTCCCGTCTTTCTTGTTTTTACAAATAACTCAAAAGAGCGAACAGATCCAACACACTTTCTTCCTCTTGTTTTCCCCACAACAACAATGTGAGGCTAGTTGGGCTGAGAAGGGTGGACTGGCTCAAAGTTACTCACCTGGGTTTCATGCCTAAGGTGGGACTACAACTCCCAGCCTCCTGGTGATTAGTCCAAAGGTACTCAGCTGGGTTTCATGCCTAACGTGGAACTGGAACTCACCGTCTCCTGGTGATTGCTCCAAGGTCATCAGCTGACTTTTGTACCTAAGGTGGAACTAGAACTCACTGTCTGCTGGTGACTGGCCCAAAGTCACCCAGCTGGCTTTCATGGCTACGGCGGGACTAGAAGTCACCAACTCCAGCTTTCTAGCCTGGTGCCTTAACCACTAGATCAAATTGGCTCGTATATTCTGCCGTGCTAGGAATGTTCAAAATACAGGTGGGACACAACTGAATTTCTCCACCAAATCTGTGGGCAGAAGACTCTTCAACCAGGAGGACTCTTGGAGAAAGAGAATTCTCCAGGGGTTTTAGCTCCTTCCCCAAGGAAGTAATTCCTTCCAAATTATATCCCTTGAGATGCAAAGGAGTATGGGAAGGCTGGGAGAAGATTGGGCAATGTAAAACAGGACATTCACACACATTCATTGGTCATCTCCTCACAAAGTAAGCGCAAGAATGTCTGCAACATTCTCTTCTGCTTTGGAATAATTTCTAAAGCAAAACTCTGTTTGTCAAAGTATGTGAGATCTGGTATAAGAAAACACAGAACATTTTCCAAACCATCCGCCCACCTACATTCGCTATGGAAGCTGAGCCATTTCACCACTGAGCCCTCCAAACTATTAAAAGTGTCTATTTTTTTTTCCACCTCACACATTTTGAGAACCCAGAAACCCAGGTTATTAGAAGGAACACTTCACAAAAGCTGAAAAAGGCACTCACTCATCTGTGTCTTTTTTGCTTTCCTCGATCTGCGCAATGGATTCGGATCGGAGGCGGTTGGTCACTTCGTACGTGCGCAGAGTGACTCCAAAGATATCTTCGTGGTATCGGTTGTCGTCCTGTAAAATGATGTGTTTGTGGGGTCGAGAGAAAGAGAATCAGAAGAGAGAGAGAGAGAGAAAGAGAGACAGAAAACAGAAAGAGAGAGAGAGAGAAAGAAAAAAGAGAGAGAAAAAGAGAATGAGATGGAAGGAAAGAGAAAGGAAGGAAGGAAGGAAGGAAGGAAGAAAGGAAGGAAGGAAGGAAGGAAGGAAGGAAGGAAGGAAGGAAGGAGAGAAAAATAGAGAGAGAAAGAGAGACGGGGAGGGAAAGAGAGAGAGAAAAGAGAAACAAGAGAGAGAAAGAGATAGAAGGAAAGAGAAAGAAAAAGAGAAAAAAAGAGAGAAAGAGAAAAGAGAAACAAGAGAGAGGGAAAGATTGAAGGAAAGAAAGAAAAAGAAAAGGAGAGAAACAGAGGAGAAAGAAAAAGAGATAGAAGAGAAACGAGAGAAAGAGATAGAAGGAAAGAGAAAGAAAAAGGAAAGAAGAGAAACAGAGGAGAGAAAAAGAAAAAAAGAGAAAAGAGAATGAGAGGGAAAGAGAAAGAAAAAAAGAAGAAAAGAAACAGAGGAGAGAGAAAGAAAAAGAGAGAGAGAGAGAGAGAAGAAACACAGAAATCAGGATCAAACTCCAGTCGTGGGCAGAGTTTGCCTGCAATACTGCTCTTTAACCACTGTGCCACCAGGGCTCTGTACAGGGAAGGTTGAAACACACCATGGGAATGTTGGCTTACCCTCAGCTTGCTAATGAATGCAACACCCTCCTCGGCTGACAGCTTCCCCTGTTCCCGAACAATACTTTGGATGGTCTTGAGCACATCTCCAGCCATGGTGACATCACCGCACACGTAGACATGACCACCCTTCTCCTTCAGGGCTTTGTACACCGAACTCGCCAATTGCTCCTGCAGGATGTTCTGCACATATTTCTATAAAAAGGAAAAAGACAAGAGCTTTATAGCACATCGGCAGAGAGTCCTTGACCGATGACCAATTCTGGGGGGGGGGGGCAGAATTCCCATTGCTAAGCAGGGCAGTTGTTAAATGAATCACACCAGATTTTACCACCTTTTGTTGTTAAGCGAATCATGCAGTCGGTCATCAAATCCAGCTTCCCCTACTGACTCTGCTTTTTGACTGTCTCTTTGGAATGGGGTGCAGACGTTATTTATCTCTCTGTGCTTGTCGATGGCCAATTTGTCTTAGGGACAAGACTTTTAAGCAATGATCAGGAGAATCTGCTCTGGGTGGGCTGTGGATCGGGTGAGGTGACTTACCTTTGGTTTTTCTGGTTCACGAGAATAGGCTGTGAACAGCTCTTTGAAGACCCCACTGCTCTTGGCCAGCAAAGTCTCTTCTTTGTAAATGTGATCAATCTTGGATTGTCGGCAACCGAAGACTAGTGTCATGGGGCATGGTTTCAGCCCTAGTGAGAAGATTGGGAGAAGAAAAAGGGGTTTTTTTCCCTTACCAGTCATCCTAGTAGCATACATAAGACCCGTGTCCATATTTAGAAGATAGAACATTGAACAATAGGTTTGGAAGGGACCTAGTTCAACCCTCCCCCCACTTGAACAGGAGACCCTATACACCATTCTGGACAAATGGCTGTCCAGTCTCTTCTTAAAAATCTTCAGTGATGGAGGACCCACAACTTCTGGAGGCAAGCTGTTTCACTGATTAATTGTTCTAGCTCTTTCGAAGGCAGCAAAGTCCACATTTTGGACAGAGAGGACTGCTGGTTTGAAAGAGGGGTCAAAGAGGCCATCTAGGTCAAAATTGAACAGCCCTATCTCAACAGAGGGGGGGATACCACACCATCTATCTCCAGTCTACAACACAGTCCTTTCAACAGTTCCAAGAAGGCTCTACACCCATTTCTACCACTCAGGTGACCCTGAAGACACAGATAAACCTCCAAGTGGCCTCAACGCCTCTCTAAAAGAAGGCAAATGACCAGCTGTCTTCAAGGAGTATAAATCCTTCCATTCTCTACCATCCAGTCTGAGCTGAAGAAGCTTCTTGGATGAGAAGCGAAACGTCTTCAAAGAAAAACAAGGAAGTCCAGTTGCCATGTGAAAAAGCATCTTTGGGACATCTTTTAGCTCATTACTCATGTGTGCCAAAATATATCCTCTTCCTAAAATCAGCTCGTTTGCTACTATTGCATGCCTATCCATCCACCTTCCCCCAAATTAACCAACCTTTATGTTTGAGATCAAAGAGCCGCTGTTGCCAGAAGCTCCGAAAAGGTGCAATTCCAGTCCCAGGGCCAACCAGAATGCAGGGAATCTGGGGATCTTGTGGCATGTGAAATCCAGGTGCTCTGGAGAAACAAAACGGGAGTTTCACTGTCATCGCACAAGTTGGCTTCCATCTTCTTGTATCAGGAAGTCATGAAAAGTAGACTAGTAGGATGCTTCTACCAGCCACTGTTGAGAAGGTTAGAGGAAGACCATGCTCCAGTCTGTGGGATCTTTTTATATTTTGGGCGCCTTCAAGTCAGGGTTGACTCATGGCAACTACCTGGACAGGTCCCTAAAGCTTTTTTGGTAACGTTTTTGGAAGTGGCTTGCCATTGCCTCCTTCCTAGGGCTGAAGAGAGAGGGACTGGCCCAAGGTCACCCAACTGGCTTCTAAGGAGTAGAATTCTTGATCTCTTGGTCTACACCAAACTGGCTCTCTTGTGGAATCTAGTTGCAAAAAGAAAATCACAAAATCATGATCCACAGAGTGACTGAAAGTCTAGGCGTTGCCTTATCAGTGTGCAGTTGAATTTCACGTCCCTCAATGCATAAGATCGCAACCTTAAAGCAATCCAGCCTTATAGGCTTTAGAGCAGGGGTCTTCAAACTTGGACACTTTAAGGTGCAACTTCAACTCCCAGAATCCCCCAGCCAGCTGCCTTAGGCTTAGAGAGCTCTGAAGGTGAAAGAGGCTATTCTATTTTAATCTGAAGTAGAACATCTGATAGCCATCTGACTATTGCACGAATATACCCAGAGAAAGAATGCTTCCAGTATCCCTAGGGAATTGATTCTACTGTTGAAGTTTTGTAACAGCCAGAATCTCCCATTATAACTTAGGAACATAAATTCACTTTTCCTGAAGCATCATTAGTTGAATCGTTTAAGTCAAGGACCATCTGTAATGCAGTTTCTACTTTGAGCAAGACACATTTGGGAGTCTTCAGCCAAATCATGGGCGGATTGACTCCCAACATTGAGATCAACATAGAGTAGAAACTGGAACTTGTGTCTGGAAACTTCAACAAGATTAACAACAGTTTGGCACCCAAATGCTCTAGTTTCATTTTCGAATCTTCACTTTATCCTTTCTTACCCTCTAACAAAGCATGGCACCACCTCATCCTCCTGTATCTGGTTGAACCAGGACGAACATACTCCGTGGTGTATTGGACCTTCCCCATCTAGGAAAAGATGCAGAAGGTGTTGGATAATATTTAGTGAGATTCCAATGCATATAATATATATATCTCTATTTAAAAAGAAAGCACTTGTCCATGTTCAACTTTCTAAGTTGTTCAAAGTGGCCGTAGGGAAGTAATCTACAAATACTCTAGAGCAGGGGTAGGCAACCTTGGCTCTTTTGTGACTCCTGGACTTCAATACCCAGAATTCCTGAATGAGCCATGCTGACTCAGGAATTCTGGGAGTTGTAGTCCACAAGTCATAAAAGAGCCAAGGTTGTCTACCATTGCTCTAGACAATGATACAATGGGCATCATAAGCAAACTTGTAAAGTGTATAGATACTATATTTATAGTATTTTTATGAATATAATATTTATGGTATTTACCTCACTCTTTTGGACTCAAATATCAAGCAATGCACAACCAAATACATTGAAACAAATGATCTTCATCGTAACAGCAGTACGAGTTACTTGGACCTGAAAAGTAGATCTGTCCGGGCCACGTGTCTTCCTTTGTCTCCCGGTTGATGTTCACCACAGGCTTCAAAATCAGTACCTTCGCCAAAGCAGGCCACCACATATGGCCCAGATGTAGCACATCCTGTAGTCCCTCAAATGTGGGGCCAGAGATGGCTCTCCTCAGAACTTTGCTTGTAATATGCTTTTATCTTTACATTTGAAACGAAAGACTAATCTCCACGGAGGACGTTGTGCTTGGCAAAGTTATACCATTATCCTGGACTACAGTTGTGACTTTGGGCTTGGAGACAATGGCTAAGGAACAAAGAACGTTGATGAGAAGAACACCAAGGCTCACTGAACATCGGAGATCTTTTCCCCAAAGGTCCCTCATCACAAAGATCAGAGCAACGGAACCTAGTTAGCAGGAGAAACTGATCTGTCCAAGTGGAGCTCTCCACGGTGCTGATTTGTTTGAATTGACAGCTCCATTTGTGCGAGTGGTGCGTGCGCGCCCTCCACTCGTATAAATGGAGCTTCGTGAGGTGAGCGGAGGGTCCTTGCACTTGTGCACGAAGCTCCACTCGTGTGAGCGGCAAGCGTTTATGCTCACACGCGAAGCTCCACTTGTGCGAGTGGAGGACGCTTGCCCTCGTCCGCGAAGCTCCGTTCGTGCAAATGGAGTTTCACACGTGAGTGCAAGCACCTTCCACTCACACAAGTTGAGCTTCACACGTGTGCGCTTGCCCATTTCTCCTGTGGCCCAGTTTTGAGGTTGAGGACCGCTGTCTTAGTTTCTTTACCGTATGTTTCTGAACAGACATAACGAGCTATTTGTTTTGCAAATCAATCCAGCTTAGTGCATGGCTAAATTCAGCTCTCCCAAGTAGCCTTATACTATTAGACCAAGGTAGTTTCGTTCATTGGGGACTTGGCCTGCTTTGTTTGGCTTTGATCCTGCTTTCCAGGCCACAGAGAGTGTGGTTTACCTCTGGTGCGATAGGACACCACAGCCACCGTGAGGTGCACTTCGTCCGGATACATGTCTGGGGAGGAACTAATGGAATAGTAACGAGGTTGAAGGAGAGGGAGCTGGGTGAGGAGGAGGGTGGAAGGCATCTGCACGGATGGGAATTCTTGCAGCACTTCTACCATGGTGGGGTTTTTCGACCACTTCCATTCCTCATAATCCTGAAGACCCTTGTGTGGAAGAAAGAAGGCAGAGAGTTTAGCTCCAGGCAAAAACTGGAGATTGACTCGCTGAGTAGAATCATTACAGCCAAGCAGACGGACAGATTATCTTCTAGTCCAACAAGACCTTCCCAATGGGATCAGCAAGAGACATGTTCTGATGAAGAAAATATGCAAGCACAACTCCAGTGTGCTACATCTGAAAGAAGAACGCGGTCTACAGTATCCAGCTTTATCCTCCAAGAATCTGTCTAATCCTCTTTTAAAGCCACCCATCCTGGCTCCATTCCCACAAACATGGACTGGCATTCAAGAGAGGAAACGGGAGCTTCAAAAGAACCAGTGACCACCAAATATTTCGGCACCGAAATGTCAAAATGATGAAAGGATAATTCTGTGGCTGATGCCTCCTCCTGGGGAGGTGGCTTTGCATAATTACAACAATCAGCAACTCAACTTGGGCAGGTCAATCAGGAATATTATGTGTGTACCACACACTTGGGGCAGTGAGAAAAAGATCTTGCGTGTCTGTCCCCCACCCCCAACATGTGTCAGTTTGGATCGCATTCTAAACACTTTCCAGCAGCCCTGTACAATATATAAACTATAATCTGGTTCTGAGTTTGCACAAAATGCTTAATGACAAAGTGTGTGCACTGGATGTTTGTTTAGCTTTGAGTTTGATGGAAGTGAAAGCACAATTCGTAGTACTTGAATACAATAAAACATTTTATTGGACATTTATTTGGACTAAGACCTCCAAGGCCCCTTCTAGCTTCTATTCTATTCTATTCCATTCCATATATTCTATTCTATTCTATTCTATTCTATTCTATTCTATTCTATTCTATTCTATTCTATTCCATTCCATTCCATTCCATTCCATTCCAATCTGTTATTCTATTCTATTCTATTCTATTCTATTCTATTCTATTCTATTCTATTCTATTCTATTCTATTCTATTCTATTCCATTCCATTCCATTCCATTCCATTCCATTCTAATCTGTTATTCTATTCTATTCTATTCTATTCTATTCTATTCTATTCTATTCTATTCTATTCTATTCTACTCCATTCCATTCCAATCTGTTATTCTATTCTATTCTATTCTATTCTATTCTATTCTATTCTATTCTATTCTATTCTATTCTATTCTACTCCATTCCATTCCAATCTGTTATTCTATTCTATTCTATTCTATTCTATTCTATTCTATTCTATTCTATTCTATTCTTGCTGAGATTTGCAGATTTTTTTTGATGCAAAGGATGCAGATTACGTAATTGTGTCAAAATGGAACTATTTACACTAATCCATCCATCTGCATAATGGTTCCGTTTTGCAAATGGTATCAGTTGTGCAATGATGTCATCGCCAGGATGACATACCCAGCCATGCTGCTCTCTAATTAATGGGCATTCATAAATGTCGCCCCTTCTCATATTCACTCCATTCAATCAAGACTTCACTGTAAACTTAGGAAATGAATTCTCCCAGTCACTGAACTGGGTGAAGACAGATTATGCCAGGAGAGATGATGGATGAAATGGAATAACCTTTTTACAAAGTGTGAAGTCAGACAAGACTGCATAATTAAAAATAATAATAATGAGGCTTAAAAATACAGTTGGCATTTCTGAAGGCTTCTAAAAATACGTATTCGTTTGTAGTTTTATGTGAAAACAAAATTTACGACCTTATAATCATATTACCATTAAAAAGAACTCTTAAGATGTTATGTAGAATATAGGTGATCAGAAAAAAACTGTTCCTGTACAAAAGTACTTAAAACAAAATAAACCAAAAGGATAGGCCAAAAACCATCTCCCCCAGTGAACAAAACAAACCAATAAAACAAAGAAGGGCCGAACAAAATTAAGAAAAAAACACAAGAAGACACCTAAATTATATCCGTAAAAGAAAATGATCTCATTTAATGAAAAAAGCAAAAAAAAAAACACAAAACACCCAGGCCCTTAAATTTGTATAACTTTCTTCAATTTCATCCTCGCAGTTCAGCTTTTGAACCATGTATCAAATCTAGAACAGAGTTCTAGAACAGAGTTTTTTTTTCAACCTTGGCCACTTACAGGTATGTGGACGTCAGCTCCCAGAATTCCCCAGCCAGCCTTGAAGTCCACATGTCCGAATGTAGGCTAAGGTGGGTCTAGACATGCTAAATCAGGACTGTCCAAAGTTGACCACTTGAAGACTTGGGAACTTCAACTGTCAGAATGCTGGCTGGGGAAATCTGGGGGTTGAAGTCCACAAGTCTTAATGACCAAGGTTGGATACCCGTATGCTAAATTATCACATGGATGTTCTCAGCATTGTGGAAGAGAGGGAGCTAATTAAGGTCCCCAACATCCTTCTTCACCACCTTCTTACCATGCTAAGAACTTGTAAGCGTTTCTTCTCCTTCTCGTCAGTGGCCAGTAAGGCAAACTGCTGCAGCAGAATCGGTGTGGGAGGGGTCGTGATGTCCAGGTAATATTTGAACGCCTGGAATATGGTACAAGCAGGAACGCGGTCCTCATCGGTCCAGTTGCTGATGGTACCTGAAGATTCAAACCCCATGTCACAAGTTCAAGTTAGGACTGGCTTTGAAGACCTCACATGTGCTAGAGCAGGGGTAGGCAACCTTGGCTCTTTTATGACTGGTGGACTTCAACTCCCAGAATTCCTGAGCCAGCATGGCTCAGCTTGGAAACCTCTCCCTTTCCCCTCAGCTCAGGAATTCTGGGAGTTGAAGTCCACGAGTCATAAAAGAGCCAAGGTTGCCTACCCCTGTCCTAGAGAATTTGTGCACTGATGATGTTACTTAGCATGATAAACGAAGACAAAAGAATGAAATCAGGCCTTCCCACCTAATGCTGTAGTTCTCTCTTCCAGAAGTTCCACTTTTACTAGTTGGTTGGTGGGTGGTGCGTCCTCCAGTCTTTCAATCAAGGTGTTGACCAAATCTTCATGGTTTCCCGGAAACACTCCCAGGTGATCTCCGGGCAGGTAATGCAACCCCTGCTGCCCGTTTGTGTGAAGCCGCAAGAAAATGGTGGAACGGCTAAAAAAGGAGAAGTTTCAAGTTTTACACTGTCAGTCTTCAAAAGCAGGAAAGACAGACTGAGTCACTTCAAAACAATTATTTTTATAATCCCTGTTTTTATAAAACAGAAATCTCAAAAAACTAAAGCAACTACTTGTATTATTGAAGATATATCCTGAGAATTGTTAAGGAGGAGCCTTCTTAACTGTGCTGTCTCTTGGTCTTCTGGAATGCAGCCCCTCCCACCTGGGAATCCAGACTGCATTCCACCACACAGACAAACATTTCTGTGTTCACACACAGTTTAAGGAGTTATCATGCTCTCCTTTATGAATGTATTTTCAAAAAAATATTTGGCCTACTCTATCTGTTCTGTAACAGTCCATCTTTTGCTTGAGCCAGGCTTACGTCTAATGACGGCTAAACATTATCTTCCTATTCAGGTGTAAGGGCATCACTGATTATTCATTCGGTGGAACAATAACGACACGGGCTATGGTTTTGGGTCCCATTGGTGAGGCTCCAATTTGCCACTCTTGAAAAAAAAAACCCACAATGGAGGAGTCCTTGCAAAGCTCTTTATAAGTCCTTTTTGGAGTAAATCCCTTCCTACAGTTCCTACCTGGATTTGAGGCTTTGGAGATTCTGACGGGCCAGCAGCCGAGCGGCGTAGACTCGTTTTTTGTGGATGCTGTATAAACCTGGGAAGGAAAGAGCAATCGTAAGCAACGAGAGCAGAGTGTAAGGCTTCCAGAGGTGAAGATACCCCAGTTTGATACAAGGAGGAGGTCAGCAAGTGGCCAGGTGTTGCTTGCCTCCAGGGCTCTCCTATCTAGCAATCATTGACACCTGCCTCACTCAGGCTTCCAACAAAGGTGCTTCAGAGCATAAGGAGACATGCATGGAGCACTCACTCCTAACTTCTTAACCTATTTGAGCAGGGGGCTGGACTAGAAGACCTCCAAGGCATCCAGATGGCATCTGGAAGAAAAGCATCTTTAGGAAGCCCAGAATAGTACCTTGGGTCAGCTCTGGAGCCTCAGCCACGTAGGTCAGCCGGAACTTGCTTCTCTTCCAGCTGCGGTCGTTGCTGATGAGAGAGTTGTTGGCTTTTTCGATGTTGACGTCATCCCCCACACAGAAGACATCACACGCTGCCTGCAGGACACAACAAGCACTCAAGGGAAGGCCGGGAAAGTGGGGGGGAGAGAGGAGGGTCTTACCAAGATCCTCCTCCTCTCAAACAGAGCGGAGAGGTGAGATTTAAGGAGCTACCCACACAGCACAAGCAGAATTGAAGACTTAACCAACGACCCGCAGTGGAGCCTCACCATTAGTCGTGAGGGTTGGAAAGAGGATCATCACAAGACCAGATCCGATTTTATGACCATTTTGGGGGGGGGTCAGTGCGGTCGTAAAGCGAACATTGCAATAGTTCAGTGAGCCCGTTGTTTGCTGTGGGGTGTTCTTGCTGAAAACTAGAAGTATACACCGGTCTGGGCAAAATCACCTCCTCTCCTAGATACCAAGAAGCATCCGTTAAATGTAGGTTACCTTGAAGACTTTCTTGGCCCAGGTTCTGAAGGATTCCTCCTGACCACACAGTTCATCCCCCTCGCCCATCCTTAGGATGCGTTCCCCTCCCAGCTCTTCCAGGAGTGTGTCCACGGCACGGGCGAAGGCGCAGAAATGAGGATAAGCTCTGGAGCCCAGCCCAAAGACAGAGAACCTGCAAGGAAGGAAGGCAAGGCACAAATGACCACAAACCTCTGGCTCCCAAGCAGAGCCAGCATGGAGGCAAGAAGGATGCAGTTTGCTTCTACAGCGAAAGTCATGTCATCTATATCTTCTCCTTCTCCTTCTCCTTCTCCATCTCCTCCTCCTATTCGTCCTCCTCCTCCTCTTCCTCCCACTTTGGGTGTCAAAGTATTGATTCTTGCACTTCTGGCAAAGACTCTCAAAGTCCAACCCCACATCCATGTCATGAGAAGTGGTAACAGGACAAAGTAAGATGTAAAAAAAGAGGTTGAGACTCTGGAAAGAGTACAGAGAAGAGCAACCATGATGATCAGGGGACTGGAGGCTACAACATATAAAGAACGGTTGCTGGAGTTGGGCATGTCTAGTTTAATGAAGAGAAGGACTAGGGGGGGATATGATAGCAGGCTTTCAATATCTCAGGGGCTGCCCCAAAGAAGAGGGAGTCAAGCTATTCTCCAAAGCACCTGAAGGCAGGACAAGAAGCAACGGGTGGAAACTAATCAAGGAGAGAAGCAACCTAGAACTAAGGAGAAACTTCCTGACAGTGAGAACAATTAACCAGTGGAACAACCTGCCTCCAGAAGCGGTGACTGCTCCAACACTGGAAGTTTTCAAGAAGAGACTGGACAGCCATTTGTCTGAAACGGTATAGGGCTTCCTGCCTGAGCAGGGGGTTGGACTAGAAGACCTCCAAGGTCCCTTCCAACTCTGTTATTCTGTTAAGGGATTGCTAAGATTGGGCAAAGTATGGCGTGGCCTTGTGCCACAGGACGGCTACGGCAGCCAGGACGGCCATCTTGGGCCACCCTCAAACAGCCTGTCTGTAGGGGCTCTGGTGAAGTGGCGACAGGCCCAGCAAGCTGGCAATGGCTATTATATTGCTACGGAAATTATAAGGAGATAGAAAAGGGCTGATCCAAGACAAATCACATGGGGAAAATGATGGAGGAACATCTGAATGACACCATCCTCCTTTCTCCAGCCGCTCTCAGCTTCTCTGCTTACCTGACGTTGGCTAGAGGACCAGCACTCTCAAAGTTATCCCTGGCTTCAGGTCCATCAATAGAGGATTTCCGGGCATCCGAATATGAGGAGACACTGTTGAAGCGCACTTTGTAGCTTCTGCAAACAAGGGGGGAGAGTTAAAGAACCAGGTAGGGAGAGAAAATCAACCCTATGCTACTCTTTGTGAGTGCATTCCAGGTAGTTATTTCCCTGTTGAGGCCCCAAAATGTATAAAGGCCTATGATCAAATCTCCTCACTTAAAATTAAAAAAAGAATTATTATTATTTTTGAAAAGCATTTGCAACCGGCTCTAAAGCGAGACAAGAGTGAAATAAATCTGATTTGACTGTCCTATATCTGTGGGGTGCAAAACTCACCTTTGAACAAGACGCTGGCACCTGCGTTGCCATAAAACAGAAAGTTAACTGGGACAAAATTAAATTTGATCCATTTGCGGAGATTTCAACTCAACCAAAACCACATTGGGTTCAGGTTATTACTCTCCGGTCACGGTTTGGATAATTTTTCCCGTCTGCCGCAGTAAATATTACAAATTGGAAGTCCCTGGGGCTTGCAAATGTCTGCTTATTTGGAGGCAAGCATTCTTGAACTCAATGGCTCTTGCTTCTGAGTAGGTACGTGCAAGAATGTTTTAATGTTTCTTTTTTTTTTTTTTTGTAAATAAAAGAAACATTTATTCGTTGCAACCATAATACAGAATACACTATAATATGATAAATGCATAATAAAAACATTTGTAACAATAACATTTTATATTGTAATTATGCTTACATGCCTATTAATTATTGTTTAAATGAGTACTTTTCCATTGAATTAATATTTTTTGTCAATGTATCATCTTCTAACAATACAGTATATCAATTTATCAACATTCAATCTCGATTTCTCACTTTTCCAATGTTTACACTTTTAATGTTTCTTTAAAATAGTTTTATTCTCTTCAAATTCTAAGGGCACCGGGCCCACGAAAGCAACCAAAGACAAAATAATCACAAACTGTCTATATTAGGATTTTAAAAAAATAAATAAAGAAAATGCAACAAAATAGAAAAAACATTGAAAAGTGCAGTGGGGGGGGGGGGAATTTGCCTCCAAAAGGAATTGGCTCAAGAAACTAGTCAAAGAAATGTGATAAAACCCTGACATCTAGTGGCAGGTCGATGTAATTACTATGCTTTAAAAAAAAAAAATCATAGGCTTAAGTTTACACATTATTTAACCGCTCTTCAAATACAGCAGTATTTCTCAACCTTGACAATTTTAAGGCATGTGGACTTCAACTCCCAGAATTCCACAGCCAGCATTGCTGGCTGTGGAATTCTGGGAGTTGAAGTCCACATGCCTTAAAATTGTCAAGGTTGAGAAACACTGAGCTAGAGACATTTTTCTGCATTTTGCAGGTTGCAAAAGCCCTGTGAACTGATGGTTCAATGTCATTTGCAAATCTCAGAAAACTGATTAATTTGTTAATCAGGGAAAAGATTATCTGGAGGCAGCGATAGAGAGAAATGTGGCGTTCCGCAGGACAAATGTAATGCTTATTTTCTGCTGAAATTGGACTGCTGCTGAGTCAATTAGCTCTTCCCCACCACCACCGCTGTCCACACAATTACATCATTAACAGCAACAATTTCCACTAATTAGATCCATCTTAGATCTGGATTAGGAAGAGATGTGTCTGTTTTCCTGGAATCAGGAAAATAGGTGTGGTTTTTTTTTTCACGGAGGGGAAAATTGAAATTTCCAGTTGCCAAATCCCAGTGTGGTTAGTGCTCACCACCTATCATGGTAAGGAAAGAAATGTTACAGTAATTTCTGTGGGTTCTGTAACGGCGGCTTTATTATTTTGCAAATTGCTGCTATAATGCATGTAATGAAAAGGAGTGCGATTCGCTTAAACTCCTATGCTCTTAGCAAAGTACAGAGTTTGCAAGCTGCAATTGCAAACTTAGCAAAAGTTATTTTAAGATTTTTACCTGCCAACAAAAGAGATGTACCTAACACTTCTGCCCACCCAGGAACTCTGCAAATTTATGGGAGTTGACTGAAATTCTTATAACCCCACCATAGACCGGCACGTAAGAAGGAAGTACGAGAAATCAAGGGAACGCTTCCAAGTTGCTAAGGAATTCGATTAAGCAATCTCGTTAAATTAAATTTACCTGCTCTCTTCTAAGCTGGAGTTAGGATTTCTCACCTCCATCAAGGCACACCCGAATTTCTGAGGAACAAAGAGAAACCAAACAGATATACCCCATGATTAGGGCTACGGACACCCCCAAAATAATTTAGAAAATATGCAACAGGAGTCATGCCGTTGTGATCCTCCTGTCATTAATTAAAACTTCCTGTCATTTCTCCAGCATTCAAAGCTGCCTAAAAAGGGGCAGTTTTAAGAAACAATTTAATCAGAACGAATACAACTCTTAGAGCAGCTGCAAGATTATTATTTTTTTTTCAGGTCTGAAAGATGACAGGTTCTTTTATAAAAATTGAAGAGACCAGCTTTGTGACTGTCCAATGTTTCTCAGCTTATATCAATGTTTCTCAACCTTGGCAGCTTTAAGACGTGTGGACTCCAACTTCCAGAATTCCTCTGGCTGTGGAATTTTGGGAGTTGAGGTCCACACATCTTAAAGCTGCCGAGGTTGAAAACACAGACCAAAATCTAAGAGCATTAGCGCATCGTAAACCAGTTTAGTGTCCAGGTGAGTGCATTTTGCCAGTTCAGCTTATTGGGTGAGTTGCTGGCTCAACATACTGTATCAATCTAGAAATTGGGTCAATTCAGTAACCAAATGAAATATGCTGTGCAAAAAACAGCCGGGGAAGGGATGGTCTAACTCAGTGGTGGGATTCCAATAGGTGAACAACCAGTTCTGTGTGTGGATGCCACTTCTGGAAGTCCATTCTGGGCCCGGGCAACACAAAATTAGCTACCGGTTCTGCCGAAGTGGTGCAAAGTGGCTGACTCCCACCACTGGTCTAACTTAAGGGTCTTCAAACTTGGCAACTTTAAGACTTGTGGACTCCAACTCCCAGAATTCTGGGAGTTGAAGTCCACAAGTCTTAAAGTTGCCAAGTTTGAAGACCCCTGGTCTAACTGTTTAAGATGATTTCAGTATGGATTATGCAGAATCTATTGGTAGAAATGGTATAGGGCTTCCTGCCTGAGCAGTGGGTTTGACTAGAAGACCTCTAAGGTCCCTTCCAACTCCTGTTAGTCTGTTAAATAGAATAGACCCAATTGGGTTGCTACGTGTATTACAAGTGGTTGCCAAGGGTCAGCCCACCTCCCTTCCTACCTCTCCATTCTCAGGAGGGTCCCCGTTGCCGAAGGTGCTTGTGACCACCAGAACCAGGGTTTCATGTTCCAGGTGAACAGTATCATACTCATCCATCGACATCACCTGAAAGGATAAAACTGGTAGCTTCAGAAGAACAAGCTTGAAAGCCACCAACTGTAACTGAACAGAAGTTGTGGGTGATCCATCATTGGAGGCTTCCTAGAAGATACTGGACAGCCATTTGTTCAGAATGGTATAAGGTCCCCTGCTTGAGTAGGGGGTTGGATGAGAAGACCTCCAAGGTCCCTTCCAATTATGGCATTCCATAACTGCAAATATGCACCAATGTGGACATTTGTGTGCAACAGTTGGACAATTGCCTTTTTCTTCCCTCTAAAAGCTCCAGAGACAAAAGGCAAAATCAGAAAGAAAGGGCTGCCAGATTGCATGCTATTTATAAATTAGCTGTCTGCCCTCCGTCCCTTCCCTTTTTCTTATGATTCAAATGGCCTTTTGTTTTTTAAACTCCACTTGCAACTTTTTCTTTTGGCTATCAAAATCAGGAGATTCAAGCAGTTCCAAGGAGTATAAAGACTTATTGCAAGCTTAAGCTCTCGACAAGAATCTGAACCGCTAACAGTCAAGAGAAACGAGCGGGAGATAAGAAAGCATTCAAGATGAGCTGGATTTCACGCGAAGGGACTCATGACCGATGACACGTTTGACCCCTCCCTCAATCTCGGGCCTGCTCATCTCCTACATCATCAAGTAGAAACAACAAGTAGGAAACGTCGCTTTGGAGGAGTTGCAAGCCTGCTCTGGGAATCGCGAGGCATCGAGATGGAGTTGTTAACGTTGCAGATGCTATTAATTGATCTCTGCTGCAAAGATTGCATACCACCCTCCAAACGATCCCGAAAGGATGGGGATTTTTCAAGGCTAATCTAGGAGAATTTTGTATTTCAGCCTCAGTGAAATCGGGACAGCTCTCAACTTCTTGGGAATGTGGCACTGTTTGTTGGGCCATTCGCTCCTGTAGTCTCCTGTGGGTGCCCAAGCATGCTTAGGCGCTTACCTTGGCATCAAAGGCATGCTTGAAGATTTCACAGAGTGTTTTTGCATAGACCTGGGATTTCCCTGTTTCCGTGGCATACAGGATGGTTGCTTTGACCCTCTTTGCCATTGCTTGACCCATCAGCTTCGCAGAGAACTTGACAGCTCTGTGTGGGAGATGAAAAGAAGATAAATTCATTATTGTGGAAAGATCTCCTGAGCATTATACCACTTTATACCGCACTGGGGACGCCAGGCTTGGAATACTGCTAACAGACTGCCCACAACTTTGAATGTCTAGATAGAAATGATCCTTGGCTCCATTTGATGAGATATAGTTTTATTAGAGATCAAGTGTATTGGAGCATTGCGTAGCCAGAACTGAGAATCGTGCGCCCAATTCGATGCATAGAATCATTTGAAGGGATAAATTTTTAGTTAATATTTTTTCTGAACAAACTCAAGATACTCAAACCAGACTTTTCAGCGTTTGGGTGTCATGGTTGAGATGGGCCCTGCTGGCATGCTGCTTAAAGTTTTAATGGCACATCTAAAACCGTGTTATACACAGGGAAATGGAATGGTGCGGCTGCATACTTACTTAGCTAATTTTTTAAAGCCAATTGTTCTCTTCTTAGTTGGGGTGCCATTGCCAACTTTCCAGATGTGGGTGTGCCAGGGGTCAGGCTGGAAAGAGAGAGGGAAAGAATCTCAGTTAAAAGTGAAGAACCGAGTCTAAGGATGAAGTCAAGAATTTACCCTGTCCAAACGTAGCTTCAATAGCTTTCTTGGGTATTGTTCAGCAGTTGAATCCTAAATCATATCTGTGTTAATACACCAGACTTAATCTGGCCCTATTGAATTAACTGGCCCAGCTGGTTTTCATGGCTAAGACAGGACTAGAACTCCCAATCTCCCGGTGATTGGCCCAAAGTCACCTAGATGGCTTTCATGTCTAAGGCAGGACTAGAACTCACTGTCTCCTGTTGATTGGCCCAAAGTCACCTAGATGGCTTTCATGTCTAAGGCAGGACTAGAACTCCCAATCTCCTGGTGATTGGCCCAAAGTCGCCTAGATGGCTTTCATGTCTAAGGCAGGATTAGAACTCACTGTCTCCTGTTGATTGGCCCAAAGTCACCTAGATGGCTTTCATGTCTAAGGCAGGACTAGAACTCCCAATCTCCTGGTGATTGGCCCAAAGTCGCCCAGCTGGTTTTCATGGCTAAGGCAAGACTAGAACTCCCAATCTCCTGGTGATTGGCCCAAAGTCACCTAGATGGCTTTCATGTCTAAGGCAGGACCAGAACTCACTGTCTCCTGTTGATTGGCCCAAAGTCGCCCAGCTGGTTTTCATGGCTAAGGCAGGACTAGAACTCACGGTCTCCCACTTTCTAGCCTGGTGCCTTAACCTCTAGACCAAACTGGCCCTCTTATGGTGCTTTGTTCTCTCTCTTGTCCTCAAATGTACTCTTAATTGGTTCAAAATTTGTGTAACCTCAGTGTTCTGGTCAACGGCATGGAACTAAAAATGCTTCTTGCAGAAAATCCTATAGTTCTCCTATATGGAGCTTGCCTCTCATGTCCTGGAAAAAGACTGATGGCAAGTCTTGAGGGGGTTAGGGGGCTTGAAAAGGGGCCCTGGCTTGGCAGGGAAGCTGAAGTCTTCTGGAGCTTTCCAGAGTCTCCATTGGCTCTGCAAAATTCCTGACAAAAACTATGGAAGGGCATCGAGCTGGCTTTTCCTGGCGAGAATGCGATTTTAAAATTCGGCAGACGTACAGTCCCCTCCAGCATTTCCACAGCTGAACAACGGCAACAGCTCTCTTAATAATGACGTGCAAATCCCATCGGTCTACATCAATTTCCTGCATAAATCTGGTCTCCGCCAGCAGGAAAAGCCTTCTGTAACCATTTCAGTTTATTAATTGAGGCTTTCCCTAGTAATTTTAGCTTCCTATTCGGAAACCTCTGGGTGCCTTTTCCTACTTCTGAGCTTTCTCTCAGCTATTGTAGCCCTCCCGCTCCCTTTCCTGGGAATGCAAATTTTATTCCATCAATGTATGTGGCCACCCATCTCAGGCAGGTGACTCTGGGTAGCTCACAACAATAATACCAGGCTTGGGTTATATACGACGCTCGTTTTTATCTTCTCTACAAAACAAGATCTGCAGAGACACCAGAATGTGGAATGTCGGTGCATCCAATAGGTCATTACCAGCATGGATGACCCACAATTGCAGGTTGCATCAACTGCTTTGATTTAGTTACAAAGCCTTAGTAAGACCACTCTTAGAATACTATATCCAGTTCTGGTCATCACCAAAAAGATGTTGAGACTCTTGAAAGAGTGCAGAGAAGAGCAACAAGAATGGTTAGGGGGCTGGAGGCTAAGACCTATGAAGAACCGTTGCAGGAACTGGGTATGTCTAGTTAGGGAAAAGAAGGACTAGGGGAGATATGATAGCAGTGTTTCAGTGTTTGAGGGGCTGCCACCAAGATGAGGGGGGCAAAGCACCAGAAGGCAAGACAAAAACCAATGGATGGAAACGAATCAAGGAGAGAAGCAACCTAGAACTAAGGAGGGATTTCCAAACCGTGAGGACAATCAACCAGTGGAATGGCTTGCCTCCAGAAGTTGTGGGTGCCCCCATCACTGGAGGCTTTTAAGAAGAGACTGGACAGCCACTTGTCTGGAATGGTCTAGGGTTTCCTGTTTGAGCAGGGGGTTGGACTAGAAGACCTCCAAGGTCCCTTCCAGCTCTATTCTGATTGATTGGAGGAGAGATCTAAAGAGATTCCAGAACTAAGAAGAAATTTCTTCAGAGTGAGAACAATTCATCAGTGGAACGACTTGCCTCCGGACGTTCTGGGGTGCTAGAC